TTTATCTCGTTTCTTAGAGATGCTTTTCTAGATTATTCTCGATTATTCTATAATAAACCCAGTATGTACATTGTACATATTAATACGTGAAGCAGACTGTAGTATAGTAGACTCCTTTTTCACAGACGGAGTAGTACGGAGCACTTTTCCTTACTAATATTATAAATGCGATCGTAACTCTGTCTGTCTCCCTTTCACATCAAAACTACTGAATCGATTTAAATGAAATTTGGTACATAGATAGTCTAGGCCCTGAGAAATGACATACATTTCAATGCGAAAAAGGGTTGTAAAGAGTTGAAAGGGGAGATTAAGGTTTATATGGAAGTATCGCCATATTTAAAGCTAAAAGGTTGAATTTTTTTGTTTTTTATTTGACGCGGGTGAAACCCAACTGTTTATAAGTGTATAATATGAACGTGGATAGATGAAAAGGGCGAGGACGATCTAAAAAAATGGATAGATTGTGTGAAAGATGATATGAATAAAATGAGAGTATGCTCAGTATGTATATATGACGGCCGATAGACGCCAGGACGATCTAAAATGGATAGATTGTATGAAAGATGATATGAATAAAAGGAGAGTATGCTCAGATATGACGGCCGATAGAGATCAATGGCAGACAATAACATACTGCGCCGACCACAAATAATGGGATAAAGGCAAGACAATGATGGGTCCAGTTCGGGTTAAAAAAGTACCTATGTATAAGTTAAATAATTTTATTAAAGTTAGGCGAGCACCTAACATATTAATTATGCCTAATGGTATCCTCTGAACCACACGATACAGACTTGCATGTCTAGTGTGTGGTTCGCCATAATGTGTATCTAAACTCAAAGGTGACTGACATAGTGATCTATCAACGCACAGCCCAAACCACTTGACGGATCGGGCTGAAATTTGGCATGCAGGTAGATGTTATGACGTAGGCATCCGCTAAGAAAGGATTTTAATAAATTCCACCCCTAAAGGGATAAAATAGGGGATGAAAGTTTGTATGAAACTTTGTCAATTTTAAACCGATCGGAATGAGACTTTGCATGCATAAAGCTACTATGACGTAGGCATCCCCTAAGAAAGGAAACAAAAGGAAAGCCGCAAAAACTATACCTAATTAATAATAATACTTCTTAACGCGAGTGAAGCTGCGGGCAAAAGCTAGTTAAATATAAAAGTGTTTTATTGGCTAATAAAGTTTTTTATTATTATTATCTTTTCTCTTTCTTTCTCTTCCTTTACAAATTTAAAAGAAGGTAATACTCACTTACACGGGCCTTAGCCAAGTGTGCGAGAGGTAGTGCTGTATGATGATATTATTGAGGAGGTCAAGAATTTTCGAGCGACAGGTATTTAGTATTGTAGCTTTTTGTTGAATATAATTATTATTATTCTCTTTTTCACAGGTTAAGCTGGAGATTAGTACCGAGGACGGGACATGCCAAGTCTCTCGTTACTTCATTTTGCATGATGGTTCATTCTGTGGCATGTAGGAAGCGACAGACTATTGCACATGTATCTAAGATAACAGCCTTTGAAATGAAATGAAATGAAATGAAATTTATTTATTTGCGTATTATACAGTTAGATATTATAATATGTCCAGGTAATAATATTATTGGCAACTGTTTAATTGCCCCAATTTACGGGCATGCAAATTTTGGATATATTAAAATTTGTAGTGGAATGTAGATTAGTTTATTTAATTTCAGATCGTCTATTGCTTTATGTAGTGTCTTAGGAATAGTTCCTGTAGATGATAATATTACTGGTATTATTATAACTGTATTTTGGTGCCACATTTGCTTTATTTCTTCTGCTAACGGAATATATTTTTGTAATTTTTCTACATGTTTTTGTTTTACATTATTTGTATTGGATATTGCTATATCTATTATTATTATTATAAGTAAAAGAAACTCTGTGTTTTATTTGCTAGTAGTTCATATATTTATGATGGGTGCGGAGTATCCGTGCCATTCCGTGCTACCATACCTGACTGTTGCCGTCCGCATCGTGAGTATCATGACCGTGGAGACATAATTAATCTATATTATATGTAGGTATGTTAACCGAAGGTAAGGTTCTATAATACTCGGTGGTCTCGCTAGAGCACAACGCCTTACTTCCGATGGTCGCGGTTTCGATTCCTAGTACGATACAAACATTTGTATCAATGAGTACGATTGTTTGTATTGCTCTGGATGTTTTCTATGTATACATTTTTTTAATGGTTGATAATGAAATGATTCACCCGCCTGCGCTAACGGTATACGCTGGCAGTGCACCAGGGGAGGATGATAAGGTCAAGTCAGTTAGCCCATCGTGTGAAGTCATTAACCACGATTAACAAGACATGACAACCATTAACCAGGAATTAACCACGATGGTTTTCAGGGGGAACCGCGTGGAGGTCGAACCGACATGATACTGTGCTAGAAATAAGTTACTATTGTAACAATTACTTACAATCCCAGCCTTTTTTGTATAATATAGATGTATTTCCAAAAAAATGTATTTAAGTATTTAGCTTCAAACTAGATGGCGCTATGGGTGTGTCCTGAGATATTATAACTACATACATATGTTGACACCCGACCCTCACCGCAGCAGACCGCACGAGTGTGGCGCTAGCGGCTCGTATGACGCATCATGTTACGGCCTACCAAGGTCCATTTATTACATGGAACTGACATAATTATATTACGTACAGACAGACTAACTTGTATAGAAGTTTTGCACTATCAGATTACCTCAGTGTTATATCTTCTCGATCCTTACTAATATTATATATGTGAAAGTAGGGATGTTTGTTACGTTTTCACGCAAAAACTACTGAACCGATCAACATGAAATTTCATAAACATGTTCTTTGAGGAATTAGAATGAACATAGGATACTTTTTACTAAAAAACAAATATTTTTTATTTAATGGAGTCAATGCGAGCGAAGCCTCGGTTAAAAGCTAGTAATACGTACTAGCTTTTACCGCTTCTTCGCTATCTCACGGGAAAGTTTGTGAATATGTATAGATAGATGGATTCTTGTTACTCTTTCACGCAAAAACTACTGAACTGATTTTGACTAAACTTTACAATAATATAACTTATACATTAGAATAACACATAGGCTATAATTTAAAAAGATATTATGTAAATTGGGCGAAATATAATGGTAAATAGACATTTACCATTATATTTCGCCTATTAAATTATACCCTTAACCCCTTAAAGCTAAAATTTTTACAAACTTTAAAATATAACTGTAAAATGTCATATATGCTATAATTTAAAAATATATTATATAAATTGGGCGATATATAATGATAAGTGTGATGCAGACGAAGCGTTAATGTTCTATAAAATTCAGTATACAAAATATCATGACCGTAACAACGAACGTCCGATGCCAGTTCAATAAACAAAATAAGACATCATATTATGATAGAAATGTTGGCACGTCCTCATGTGCGTTGAAATTATGACATTGTTGGGTACAGGCCAAACCTGAAACCCTTTTAAAACGCTTAGTACCTACCTTGAGGTGAGATAAACAAAAACAAATGTCACCTTTATACGTAATTATATATAGAAAGAAAGAAAAACATATATATATATAATCTACTAGCTGCCTCGCACGACTTCGTCTGCATCACATGCATGTGAGCGTATTGAGTAGGTCTGAGAATCGACCAACATCTATTTTTCATCCCCCTAAATATTAGGGGTAGTCCACCCCTAATTTTTTTTTTATTTTAAGGCAAAACAACGTTTGCTGGGACAGCTAGTATATATATATATTTTTGTCGTTGTAGTTTACTATGCTAAAATAGACACAAAAGCTCATGAATTTATCACTCAGCTACATCTAAATCCTTTGTGCCAATTTACTAATTTCTGACTGCCTTTTCACAAAAATTACTTAATATTATGATTTCATATGGATTACAAAATAGAAAAAGCAAATATCGGAACGAAGTTTTGTGGAAATGACCTAAAATCATTTAAAATGAAATTTAGGTCGATTCTAGTTGTTAATTGGGCCAAATTCCTCAATATTTTACAAACTGACAGCGTTCTTTACTGTGCTTATTTGATGTCACTGCGAGAATTAGAAGATGTACCTAACATTCTGTCCACCCTGACGGGACTAAGTAGCGGAGTTTGAAATGGGCCAGCACAATAGATCTATGTAGGTCGTAGTGCTACAGGTCCATGCACCTGGCAATAGCCTAAACAACCCAATAAAAAAAATAAAAAAAACATTCTGTTTCGTTCTTCCAGGGCACGGTTACATACATACATATATCGGGACAATACACATAGCACCGTCTAGTCTCAAGCTAAGCAGAGTTTGTCGTATAGGTATAGGCACTAAGATATCTATATATATAAATAAAATTGGAGTGTCTGTTTGTAATATTGAAGTAATCGTTTTTTACTACATGCATATGAATATAAATACGGTACATACACCAAAATAACATTTTTTACAATTTTTGTCTGTTTGTTCCGGCTAAACTCTGAAGCGGTAGGACCGTTTTTGATGGGACTTTTTTTGCCAGGTAGCTAATGTAATAAGGAGTAACTTAGGCTACTTTTATTTTAGAAAAATAAAGTTAAATTCCACGTGAACATATATACATTTTTTGTAAATACATACATAATATAGATAGAAAACACCAGTTCAATGATGTCTTTTTAATGTAATTAAAATGGCAAACAAGCTGACGGTCCCACGTAAGGGTAATCGGTAAACTGCGACGTTTATAAATATGAACAGCACTACGGACATCAAGCTATCATGTGACACTCGTGATACCACTCGTGCGTGGCAATGATTTAATGGCTGGAATGGCAATTCCTGGTTGGTCGATATAGACCTGGGGGTCGATATAGACCACTTTGGGAATCACTGATTTAGATCATAGTTATATATATATAGATACATTATTATATACATAGACTGATATATATCATAGTATATACAATACTGACCACGAGTGAAAGCCTGTGGTGCGGGGGCGGCGGCGGGAGCCTTGAGGGCCGCCGTGATACGATGCATTGCTCTTTCTGTGGACAAACAATCGATAAGCTATGAGAAAAAATAACTACTATAATTAATTATAAACTGTACAAATAAATAAAATTCAGAATTTTTCATTTTATTTCTGCATTTACTTCTATACTTATTCAGCATCGTCTCCTTATCGACTAACGTCTATAATCTCTCCGAATGTTTGTGAAAAATGCACTTTACTGATAAGACCAGCTTTTGTACCTCATTACTCTAAATTCTAATCCTTATAATTGGAGTGTCTGTTTGTAATTTTAAATTAATAGTTTTTATATATACATTTTTAAATAAAGAATTAAGTTCATACATACTATAAAACAAAGTCACTGTCGCTGTCTGACCGTCCCTATGTATGCTTAAATCTTTAAAACTACGCAACGGATTTTGAAGCGGTTTTTTTTAACAGTTAGAGTGATTCAAGAGGAAGATTTATATGTATAATACATTATACACCGTCATAATGTATAATAGGGCGAAGCCGGGGTAAGTAGCTACTATATTATAAATCCTAGTACAACACCATTATTTATTTTTTTAAATGTCAAGTGTTTGATATTGAACTAAACGGCTTGACCGATATTTATGGCATTTTTGGTGTATATCGAATATTGTAATAGGTCGTAGGGTTTTTTTTATGTATATACCTAGGTGAAAAGGGCCGTCCTAAAGCAGAAATAATTTACATTGAAAAATAACGTCTGTTACAATGAATATAGATAAAATAACGTCATTGTGCATATTTTAGGTTTGACTATAAAATTACCCTATTTGGGTAGAATTGTAAAATCAACCTGTGTTGTTAGAAACAATAAACCGAAATTTTAGAGAGAAAATTCAGCACTATCAGGTATATAACAAATACCAATATAGACCCACAATTTGGCCGGAAGGGGTCTAAGTTGTAGGTGGGATGCTGACCCTTTCATCTCCCACGCAGACACGAGTTCGAACGCGATTCTATTCTGTTTACTTGGTTACGTGGGCGTACCAGTCAGGACCAGACCAGGACAATCATTAATTGAATTACTTTCAACTGAATTTCTTTCTTCGAACTATTCCAACGCAATTTTCTTTGAAATAGGTGATAATTTGCGAAAGTCCATTTCATCACTTAATGGATGGATACTATTTCGTTTGATTCCGCTACCATTGGCATGTGTGAGTCCACAAACATTCAGTTTGAAAACCTGACCACCGCTACTGGAAGCTGTAACGCTGAACAACATTTACTTAGAAGAGCAAGACTGTAGTTTGTTGATTGTTCTTATTCGTGTGATGAGGCTGCTTTCCGAATGACCGGTAGAATAAAAAAAATATAATTGAGTTAGACAAATTCAGCTAAAATAATTGTTGAGCTTTATCAATTTTTTATAATCCCTTCTTCGAGGCAACAGACAAGGGCAAAGGGAATTTATAGTCATGTGGACTGCTGACCTCATGACCATGTCAGCTTGACCTCCACGCGGTTCCCACTGGAAACCATCATGATACATTCCCGGTGAACTTGTCACGGTGGGCTAACTGACCTGATGTTCATCTTATTGTCCTGCCCCGCCAGCGTAAGCCGTTAAGAGCAGCGGGTGCAACATTACACTTACATCAATTTAAAAAAAATGTACTAACCACATGGACGGAGAGCGTCGGCGCCGACTTCCCAAGCGCCGACCGGCGCATGCGCACGAGGTTTGTATTGCGTGACGCCTTGCCCGCATCTGTAAAAAAACAATCCCATTAAAACATAAAGTACAAACTGTTACCACTGTCATCCAATACGGGTTTTTTTTTAAATGGGTAATAATTTTTAAAGTGACTCTAATTGTTAGACGTAATTATTATTGACACGTGTCCACGGATTTGTTAGTTTTAAGTCGTATATAGGTATCGACTTAGGTTTGCAGTAGATGGATGGACATATTGGAATGGTGCACCAACCTAAGTTAACGGTATACGCTGGCGGGGAACCACTGGAGGATGATAAGATAAGGAGCAGGTCAGCTTAGTTAGCCCATCGTGGAAAATTCACCAGGAATTTATAACAATGGTTTATAGGGGGAACCGCATGGTTTTTTTTATGGATCATAATGGAATGGTGCACCCGCCTGCGCTAACGGTTTACGCTGGCGGGGCACCAGTGGAGGATGATAAAACGGGCATGAAGTTAGCGGTTAGCCCATCTTGGCGTGCATTCCGTTATAATCCATAAAAAAAGACAACTCGGCAAGGGATAGACCTACCGCTGTCTCTCGGAATAATTTTTGGTTTGACATCGGTGTTAACATATAACTTAAAATTGAGTAATTCTCCTGTGAAGGAAACAGATGAATTACTCAATTTTAAGTTCTATTTTATTTCAGTCAGATTTGAACTCACGACCGATTGCTCGTAATTCAGAGTAGTAAACCACTAGGCCACGACGTTCTTAATGTTATGAACTATAATTATATCATTCGAGTTTATGACGCTAATGTTGTTTTGATATTTTATTATGCTAATACAACTTGATAGCTCGTACTCAAAGCCGTTAAACTATAAGTATGTTGTTAAACTACAATAATGAATAACAACTACATTTAAATGATATTTCAATTTAAATAATTAAGTACTAATTACACGTTTAATAATAATAAATAGCACTAGACAGTTCAAACAACGCCATAAACTGTACAGCTTGTGTTATGGGTACTTAACAACTGATATAATAATAAGAATAATAAGTTACCGTCTCCTCGTCCTATTCGAATTTTTGTAAGGTTTGGAAAATAATAATAATAATAAAAGCTAAGAGAGTGAGAGGATGATAATAATAACAATAATAAATTTATTTGTAGATTTTGGGTACATACATATATGATGTTATACAAAAACATGGCCCTTGCATAATCTAAAAATATATAATAAAAATCGATAATTTAATTAACTTTAAGATTTGTACGTTTGATAGCTTATATCAAGCGTACAAATCTTAAAGTTAATTAAATTATCGATTTTTTATATAATTATTAATTATTGTATATGCCAATTTGTATCTATATAAATCTAAATGTCATAAGGTATAATTTATCATTTTAGGATTCCATAAGCTCTTTAATTGAGTAAAAACACTTGGAAATACGTACATATAGCACGTATATACATGCATAATATACATAGATTAGTAGCAACGCAGTTTTTTTTTTACTACGTCTTTGGCAAGCAATCATAAAGCCGATCTGATGGTAAACGGTTACAGTAGACTATGGAGTCAAGAAACCTCAACATACCCTTCTTGAAAACAGTTTACCCCGATTATACAAACATTACATTTTTACATAATATAAAAAAAAAAAGATTTACTAAAATCATATCAATAGGACATTTTAGATGCATATGAACGTCAAATTTTTTATATTAATGTTTTTCCCTACCGTCCAGTTCAGTGTACAAATTCAATTGAGAAGAAACTCAACTAAATATTTTTTTTTAAAGTCAGTTTATATACATTGTACACTTATATAGGTGTCTACATCTAACATGAACTGTAAATCCCATACATAAACTACTATTGCCACGCACGTCATTACAAAATTATATCAAACTAGCTGTTCCCGCGATTTCGTCCGCGTGGAATTAAACTTTATTTTTCTAAAATAAAAATAACCTAAGTTACTCCTTACTTACATCAGCTACCTGCCAAAAAAAATCCCGTCAAAATCAGTCCGGCCATTTCAGAGATTAGCCGGAACAAACAGACAGACAAAAATCGTAAAAAACAGTTATTTCAATTTTACAAACAGACACTCCAATGTTATTTATATGTATAGATGTATCGCCTTTGTGTATCTACTACGCCATATATACCGCGTACGGTAAACAAAATCATCCGATATAACAGTTTAAAACTGTTTGGATGTTCTAGACTTATTAAGATCATTTACCACCGAAGTCTCAATGTCTGTTTGTCTATAGGAGAAACCTCATACGAGATTTTTGGCCTTCGGTACGGTAGGATATTTTCAACCCAGTCTAACCAGGGGGAAGGGGATTGTTAGTAATGTGGACTGATGACCCCATTACTAACAATGTTATTATATGGTTCCTGGAAACCATCGTGATAAATTCCTGGTGAATTTGTTACGATGGGCTAACTGACCTGACCTCATGCTCATATTATCATCCCCCACTGGTGCCCCGCCAGCGTAAACCGTTAGCGCAGGCGGGTGCACCATTCCATTATCATCCGTTAAAAAAAAAACCCAGTCTACCCTATCTTATTATATAAAATTCTTGTGTTACAATGTAACCCGTTTCGGACGAGTATGGTACTCCTCTGAAACGGCTTGACCGATTTTTATGAAATTTTATATGCATATTCAGTAGGTGAGAGAATCGGCTACTATCTATTCTTCATAGCTCTAAGTGATAAAGGTTGTCCCTAACATTATTATTTTTTAACACGATTTTTTTTTATACTTGTGGCATTAAAAAAATTTGTGGCTTTAATTCAAAAGATCCTATACTATATCCCAGTTACACAAACTGGGATATAGTATAGGATCTATAGTATAGAACTGTAAGAGATTGCAAGAACGCCTTTAAAATTTCATTCAAACGACTATGTACTCTATTTTCAGTGCCCAATATTGTTTTAATATTATAAATGGTCGCCCAATGATCTATATTCAACCATAATGAATTTAAATTATAAGTTTGAACATTATTAAGGTTCTATTGTTAAAGACTATAATCCTATGCGTATGTGTCAAATACATGGTAGTGCATGTAATGTTTTTTTTTTTTGTTTTAATGTATTACGCATACATAATTTAAAAAAAAATTGCATTCTGCACTATTCTCTATATAAACTATAAGCGTGCGAAATTTCATATTTCTTCGTCCGCGCAATTTCATAACAAACCTTCTTTGTGTTTTTTTAATAGCATAGGGAACAAACGAACTTGCGGCTCACCTGACGGTAACTGATTATATTACCGTCGGCCATGAGCTCCCACAACACTAGGGGAATTGCAAGTGCATTGCCGGCCTTTTAAGAAGAATTAAGTTCTTTTCTTGAAGGTTTCAATATCGTATCGTATGTTTGGAAATACCATTGCTGGGAGGTTGCTATTGCTTTACGTATTAATATTATGTATGTATTAAAAAAAATTGGTATCAATTGTCTAGTACCCATAATACAAGCTTTACTTAGCTTGGGACTAGATGGCGCTTTACGTATGGATAAAAATATTAGAATTCCGACATTTCTAATCGAATTTTGGTATGTCTTTGAGTAGGACATTTCTAAGTCTACACTAAGGAGTTGCATAAACTACCATTAGACGTCTCTGAATGCCGCTTCAAGTCATGTCGACTTGTACAAATAAATTACACTGAATCTTATTAATATTATAAACACGAAGGTTGTGAGTACGGATGAATGTTTGTTACTCTTTCACGCAAAATCTACTGAACGGATTTTGATGAAACTACAGTAAAATAGCTTATACAGCAGAATAACATATCTTATTAACATTTATAAATGCGAAAGTTTGTGAGTATGAATGAATGTTTGTTACTCTTTCACTCAAAAACTACTGAACGGATTTTGATGAAACTTTACAGTAATATAGCTTATACATCAAAATGGCATATAGGCTATAAATTTCACGCGGGTGAAACCACGGGCTCAGCTAGTAACTAATAAAAAAATGTTGGCTACAACGATTGTGACACACCTCTGCCTCGCCCAGAATAAAGTTTAAATATAAATAAAGTCAAGCAAAATACCGCGTCAAACATTCTAAACATGATAGGAATCCCAGTAACACATTTAGATCAGCACGTTTGGTACAAATATTTGATCAAATCTTTAATCGCAACATTCAAATGAGGTAAGGTCAGTAACGAGGGAAACTAGTTTTTAAAAATATGCATATGCTGAAAGTAGTCGTTACACATGGAATTGTCTGCTTTTTTTTAAGATATAAGGTCACCTATGTGTATATTTTATTCATACAGATTATATTGCACAATGACAGTAAATAATATAAATACAATAAATATCATATTTTACGATATGTATGTATGGTCGCGATATGTATGTATCTACAAATATATATATATCTATTTGTATCAGTTATCTACTACCAATAAAACAAGCTTTAGCTAGCTTCACTTGAGTTTAGATGACGCTGTGTTTTGTCCTGAGAATATTATTATTATTTCTTATTCTTCTCTGTGGTTAATAGTACATTTTTTTTATTAACTTTGCTTATCGTTATTAATTCAACTTATAACAAAAGGATTTGTTACGAGCATGAAGTCATATGGCCTTAGGTACACGGAACACTTCATCATCTCATTGGTCAAACCAGTAGTTTGGGAGTTACGAGGAAACGAATTAACATGCATACTAACACACTAATATCGCACCCATTCATCTGTTTCACAGCTGTCGAATAATAAGTTATTGTTTCTAGAAAAACCGGTTCCGATTCGTATGACCGTATGTGTCATCGAGAGTGACTGCTTGTCTATAGATCAATTGTTTTTCTTCTTAATGGAATAGTAACCTCATTGCTAATCAGGTCTTTACTATGTCAGGTCTCCACACGGTTACCCATGGAAACCATCATGATGAACTCCTGGCGAAACTCTCACGTCGGGCTAACTGACATGACCTCATACTCATTTAACATCCTTCACTGGTGCCCCGCCAGCGTAAACCGTTAGCGCA